TATACAAGCAATAACCAATCAGTCAATACCTCCTACATGCCCTGGAGACATTTTCTTATTGTCTTGGTGATTAACATTTGGCTCCTTACGCTCGCATGTAAACCCAGCACTTTGGGAGGCGGGCAGATCACTTGAGATCAGGACTTTGAGACCAGCCTGGCCAACACGGTGAAACCCCGTCTCTACTGAAAATACAAAAATTAGCCAGATGTGGAGATGGGTGCCTGTATTTCCAGCTACTCAGGAGGCTAAGGCAGGAGAATCACTTAAACCCAGGAGGCAGAGGTTGCAGTGAGCCAAGGTGGTGCCACAGAGGGAGACTGTCTCAAAGAAAAAGAAAAGTAGCTCCTCATGACTTATGCAGATTTCTGCAGCCGGCTTGAATTTCTCCACAGAAAATGGGTTTTTCTTTTCTATCTCATAGTCAGGCTGCAGATTTTCTAAACTTTTATGCTCTGTTTCCCTTAAAAAAGTGAAACTCCCAGAAATGAAAATCAGGATAACTAACATTAGAAACAGGATGAATTGGCCAAAAAGGTTAGACATAGCTGAAGAGGACCGGACTAAATGATCCGGCTTATGTAAAGTTTAAACACAGGCAAAGCCAAACATGACCTAGAGACACAGACATGCAGTAGAACCATGAGGAAAGGTGAGGGCTGGTTAACATGAGAGTCTCATGAGATTGTGGTGATCTCCTGGGGCACCAGCATGCAGGTGACACCTGAGGCCAGTGAGGCATCCTGGACTTGAAGGGTGTTGAGCAGGGCCCTGGCCTCCACCTGTTCTGCTAAAGATACAGAAGTCTCTACTAGAAATACAAAAATTAGCTGGCATGATGGGCGTGCCTGTAATCTCAGCTACTTGGGAGGCTGAGGCAGAAGAATTGCTTGAACTCAGGAGGCAGAGGTTGCAGTGAGCAGAGATCACATCACTCCACTCCAGCTTGGGAGACAGAGCAAGACAATGTCTCAAAAAAAGAAGAAGAAGAAAAAGAAAAATATCTAGGAAGAAGCACTTCCTAAAAACAGCTTTTTCTAGTATGGGAACACACATCTGTAGTCCCAACTACTCAGGAGGCTGAGGCAGGAGGACTGCCTGACCTTGGGCATTTGAGGCCAGCCTGGGCAGCACACATCTTGTTTCTAAAAAGTAAACCAGGCCAGGCTCAGTGGCTCACGCATGTAATCCCAGCACTTCGGGAGGCCAAGGCAGGCAGATCATGAGGTCAGGAGTTTGAGACCAGCTGGCCAATATGGTGAAACCCTGTCTCTACTAAAAAGACAAAAATTAGCCAGGCATGGTGGCACACACCTGTAGTTTCAGCTACTCAGGAGGCTGAGGCATAACGATTGCTTGAACCCTGGAGGCAGAGGTTGCAATAAGCTGAGATCATGCCACTGCACTCCAGCCGGGGCAACAGAGTGAGACTCCACCTCAAAATAAATAAATGAATAAATAACAAAAACCCAGCTTTACTGAGACATAATTCTCATGTCATACAATTCACTTAAACTGTACAGTCCAGTGGCTTTTAGTGTTGTTTAAAAACATTTAAATTGGGAGGCTGTTCCGCTGGGGTAGCTTTGGCACTGTAAGTTCCTGCCAATAAGTGGAAGCCCAGTGAAAACACTGAAGCAGAGGTGAGGCTTTACCACCAAAGCTGCCGACTGACCTTCACCAGGGGCTCTCCCACCCTCGCCAAGCCACCTGTCTACCTTGTCTTCCGGGAGGGCCTCTCCATTGTCCCCCTTCTCCCGCTCCCCACCAAGTGCATCTCCTCTCAGATGTCAACAGGGTCTTCCCAACTGCTGGTGTCTGGTACTGCCCAGCTCATGAACAGCTGAGTCCTCAATTAACCCCTTAAAACTGTAGTTTGCTGCAGTTTCCCTTTCAACAGTAGATTCACAATGTGCAGCCACCACCACAGTCAATTTTACAACATTTTCATCCCTGCAAAAGGAGACCGGGTACGCATTGGCAGTTGCCACAGGCAACCACTAATATGCCTTCTGTCCCATGGGCCGCCTGCTCTGTACACTTCACAGATGAGGACTCATGCAGTGGCATCTCCTTGGCTGCCTTCTCTCACTTCTGTCATCGTGTGTTGAATGTTGATTGACAACGACTCCTTGCTTGGCCAAACTGTAGTCAGCTTCTGATGCTTCTCTGAGGCCCATGTGTGGACTTTCTTGTAAAAACAGGTTTAGCAAATAGCAGTGCCAAGGCAGCTTATCAGGAACCCCCTGGCATCCACGCCTGGTCACCCTCAATATCTTATCAACATTCTGCATCCTGCTCTCGGCCTCTGACCTCCTGGCTTGCCTTCAGCAGGAATCCCATGGGGCTGCTTCAGCCAGAGCCCACCAAAGCCCCCAGACTAAATGATTCTTCAGCACTTTTGCATCTGCCAACCCCCTCCTTGGTCCTCAGTTCCCACATGTGCTTGGCATATTTGGAATGAAGCCCAGTTCCATGCTAGGGTCTCTCTTCCCCATCTCAATAATCCTGAATAGGCCATCGGGTGCAGTGGCTCACACCTGTAATTCTAGCACTTTGGGAGGCCAAGGCGGGAAGATCACCTGAGATCAGGATTTCAAGACCAGCCTGGCCAACATGGTGAAATCCCTTCTCTACTAAAAATACAAAAATTAGCTGGGCATGGTGGTGGGCGCCTATAATCCCAGCTACTTGGGAGGCTGAGGCAGGAGGATCCTTGTATCCAGGAGGTGGAGGTGGCAGTGAGCCAAGATCACGACACTTAACTGCAGCCTGGGTGACAGAGTGAGACTCCATCTCAAAAAAAAAAAGGAAAGTTAATTAGAAAGGAAGAATACTGCAAAAGGGTGCAGTGGGCACCTCAGAGAGAAGACTCAGTGTACATTGGTAGATTTTCCTTAGGAGCATTAATGGACCTTAAGGCTGGAGCTTAGGGTTGTAAAATGTTTCAGCATGGCATTCCAGAGATGTTTAGAAATTTTATTTCTAAATGTGGCCGGGCGTGGTGGCTCATGCCTGTAATCACAGCACTTTAGGAGGCTGAGGCAAGTGGATCACGAAGTCAGGAGATTGAGACCATCCTAGCTAACATGGTGACACCCTGTCTCTACTAAAAATACAAAAAATTAGCTGGGCATGGTGGTGGGTGCCTGTAATTCCAGCTACTTGGGAGGCTGAGGAAGGAGAATCACTTGAACCTGGGAGGTGGAGTTTGCAGTGAGCCGAGATCGTGTCATTGCACTGCAGCCTGGGCGACAGAGCGAGACTCCATCTCAATAAAAAAAAAAAAAAAGAAATTTTATTTACTTATAAAAGCTGACAGAAACCTGGAATTGAAGCTGTGTCATTTGTCTGGGGTAATACCCAAGGTTCGTTGCCTCACTCCAAGGAAATTGAGAACATGGACAAAAGGAGTAAGTTAAGAGTAGAAGTTTAACAGGCAAAAGAGAACAGTTCTCTCGTGCAGAGGGAGGCAGGTTCCGAGAGGATTTCCCCCTCCGCATTAAGATGCAGTTGGTTTTGTAGATGAGCTTGAGGAGGTGGTGTCTAATCTACACTGGGCACAGACGATTGGTTGGACCAGGTGTGCCATTTACATAGCACCAGAAGAAGCTGGCCAACTCACCCTCTTGTGCAAATCTGTTTATGCAAATAGTGTCTCTACCTGGCTGGCACCACAGAGCCTGCTTTTCTACTGCACATGTGGTGACAAAGAAAAGGGAAGGGGAACCTCCATGTTGAATATACCTGGCTTCCAGGTATCCCTTTGCTATTGGCACAGCTGCCGGCATTCACCTATGCAAGCTTCCAGCTGGCTCATCTATGTCTGCAGCTCCATTTTACAGGCTGCTCTTTGTTAGAAGAGAAATAATTTGGGGGCTGCTTTTCATCAGAAGGGAAGCCTTATTGAGGACTCTCTTACCTTCACTAACTGCCTAAATGATTTCTTTTTAGCTTTTGTATCAGAATCAGATGCTGTCTTTGGATACAAGGAAGTTTGATTACTTCACATTCCCCAGATAAGGAGTTTTGCCTCCGGATGCTCTGTTTGATGGTCACCAGCTGATCTTTGCTCCCTTCTAAATTGCTCACATAAGAAGTTTTGTCCCTGGGGCCTGTTCAATGGTCACCAGGTGATTTTCACCCTCCTCACAGCCTGGGCAATATAGTGACACCCCATCTCTAAAAAAAATACAAAAATCGCTGGGCGTGGCAGTGCACACCTGTGGTCCCAGCTACTCAGAGGGGCTGAGACAGGAGGATCGCTTGAACCCAGGAGGTCTAGGTTGTAATCAGCCTTGATTACACCTCTGCACTCCAGCCTGGGAGATGGAGTGAGAGACCCTGTCTCAAAAAAAAAAAAAGAAAAGTTTTTCCGTGTGTTGTGAATGTGTTCTCCTGCTTCCCTGTGACTTTGTTCATTGGAGACTTGGCTAAGTATCCAAATTGTTTTTCAGATTTAAATGTTAGCAGCTCTCATTCATGGAAAGTTTATGGTCTGCTCTTTTAGCTGTGTGGCAGTATCTTTCCACCTGTGGCATAAGGCTGGTTGGTTTTACGTCTGAGAAAAATGAGTCTGGGGAAGTGCCACTGCCATCCCGCAGCAAGCAAACAGCCTCCTGCATCTTCCTCATCTCATGCCTGGTCCTCCCCTTTCGTCATCTTTTCTTCCCTCACCCCATCTTTATCGTATCTCTTTTTGTCTCCAAAGCAAAACAATATTTTAATTGGTTGCATTTTTTTTACCATCCGTTTTTAACTTTAAAAATATATTCATGACTTTCTCCTCCTCTTCCCTTCCTGTCTTCTCCGCATTAAATTCATCCTCTTTGTACTGCTACCTGAGTGGTTCCCCCATTCCCCCCACCCCACCCCACCCCACTTTAGGCAATTCTGAGTGGTACAAATGTTTCACATCCCTCTCCCAGGACTGTATAAGAGTCTGGTTTTCCTTTGAAGTAAGCAGTTGGGAGTTCATTCTACTTGATTTTTCTTTCTAGGTCTCAATTTTCCAGGGGCTTTAAAGGAAGAAAATCCTGTATTTAGAGCCTCGAGTCTGAATTTCAACAAAGGTAATGCTCTTTTTTTTTTTTTTTTTTTTTTTTTGTAAACTAAGCAATCATCTTACAAGAAGAAAATGACATGGTTTAGTAGCTCAAATGGAATGGTAAGAGGAAAGTGCGGAGCGCAGTCAGGCAACGTCAGTCCTGAGCTATCACTGTTAGGCAAAAGCAAAGCTGTAAACTTTCTGCCTTTTCCGTATTTCATGGAAGTGTTTATCCTCTGACTGCACAAGATGCAGGTGGTTAATCACACACCTGCCCAGCTGTGCAGTCCTCTTGTTGGGAGGTCCCTGCCTGTGGATCCTGTCAAGTTTGTCAAGACAGGACACCAACAGGGCTGTGACCAGTGGCAAATTTATACAGCTCTGCAGCCACTTTATTCTCACCTGCTTGGAGGAAAGAATGCGGCTGAGGGGCAGAAGTAGTTTTAAGGCAGAGGGAGAGACCAAGGTCAGATTTAGAGAAAGAGGGAGAGTTTATTACAAAGCTTTAGAGCAAGAATGAAAGGAAGTAAAGTACACTTGGAAGAGGACCAGGCAGGCAACTTGAGAGATAAGTGTCCCGTCTGACCCTTGATTTGGGGTTTTATGGGGTTTTGTATTTCTTCTCCCTTGATTCTTCCCTTGGAGTCAGCTGTCTGCTTGTGTGCTGTACCCCCAGAACTTGGGAGAGGCTGTGTGCACCCCCCACTTCAGCTGTAGGAACACTGAGAGTTTGTCTCTGTTGCATTACTACTGTTTACTGAAGCTGTACACATGCTCACTTGAGGCATTTTCCCCTTATCAGTTGAGTGTTTCTAGAGGAAGGTCGAACACCAGTCAGATCTCACCGTTGTGCCTCTTGGCGCCATGCTTCAGCCCACTCACCCGACTCCTGATCTTATCAGGAAGCTGCTGTCACCAGCTTCAGGGGTTTTCTATGTGTTTTGGAGACTGCCTTTCCCTGGCTCCTGCTGTGACCAGCTATTAAGCAGTGCACCAAGATGTAAGTTTTTGTTGTTTGAGATATAACTGGAGGGTTTTTTTTTAACCTCTTAGAAGATTAAGGAGCACAGACACAAAGGTGAAGGTTTAATAAGCAAAAGAAGGAAGCTCTCTCCCAGTAGAGGGGGGTCCCAAGTGGGGTGGACACTATGAGTCTCGTTCTGGGTTCTTTATGAACGGGAAAGGGGAAGAGATGTGCTTAGTCTGCAGGCTGTCTTGGTGAACATGTGACTTAGCTTGGCCCAGGACCAGTTAGAAAGCTTGGCCCGAGGCCAGGTGCAGTGGCTCACCCCTGTAATCCTAGCACTTTGGGAGGCCGAGGTGGGCAGATCACAAGATCAGGAGATCGAGACCATCCTGGCTAACACGGTGAAACCCTGTCTCTACTAAAATAAAAAAAGCCACCCGGGCATGGTGGCATGCACCTGTAGTCCCAGCTGCTTGGGAGGCTGAGGCAGGAGAATCGCTTGAACCCGGGAGGTGATGTTGTGGTGAGCCGAGATCACACCACTGCACTCCAGACTCCGTCTCAGAAAGAAAGAAAGAAAGAAAAAAGCTTGGCCTGAAACCTTGGCCCAGAACCAATTAGGAGCTGATGATTCATGGAGGCTCCTTAGCTTGGCCCAGGACCCATTAGGAGCTGAAGTGAAAGCTTGACCTGGGACCAACAAGAGGCTGAAGTGGTGATTCATAGGATCCGAACTTACAGTCCAAGGACGGAAAGGAGGTTGCCCACCCAAACCCACCACAGCCCACTGTGCCCACGCCCACAAAACGAGGAGAAGCTTTTTCAAAGGACGAAGGCATCGTTATGCCAGGCCTTGTGCCCTTATTCCAGTGAGCCGGAGGTTTGTGCAAGCTTTTTACTGAAATGCAGGTTTTTCCATCTGCGTAGCCAGGGGCATGTCCCTTGGCACAGCACCCTGTGCTAGTTCCCTTATTCGTGCCTGCAGCTTGATTTCCCCACACCCCAGGCTGCTTTTATTTTATGTGAGGGTGAGGCACTGACCCATGGGCTGGGGACTTTCCAAGGACTAAGACTTCCCTCTGGAGTAGAGACTGGAACTGCTGTTAGGGAGATTGGGCAATGCTTTTTTTTTTTTTTTTGCTACTTCCTGCTACAAAGGGGCATTGTGTGGGGAAGAGCAGCTAGGATTTCTCCTGGGGTTGGTTTGAGGATTCTGGAAGAAAGGCACATCCATGTGTGGTTTTGTTTGTATTACTATTTGGTGCTTGTTGGCCTCTAGGGAGAGGAGACAATTTGGGTTATAGGATTGTGTGTGCAAGCCCCAAATGTTAACATAAAGCATATAGGGGAAAGAGGTTTTAGCAGGGGAGCTAACCAGGTCCAAAGCCACGACTGGAATTTATTAAAAAGGGATTGTAGCCAAGTGGGACTAGAGTTCGCACTTTCCCTTAATTTGTTACTGACTTTAATTTGGTTTTTAAGCGCTTGTAAATCTCTCTCTGCCGGACTGTAAGTGTTGATCCAGAAGTAGCATGTTTTAGTTACGGGTGCACAGGCGCCCCTACTTCAGCTGTAAGGACACAGTTGTCTATTTTGCATGATGGCTGAGGCTAGCGAATTGATGGACTGTCGTGCTACACTGCCTTCCACCCTTGTTGCACTGTGACAGAAAGATTAAACACTGATTTTCTTAGAAGCGGAATACCACCAAACCAAGATAGGCCTTTGGTTATTGCATGTCCTGTTGCTGGTTTTTCTAATACAAGATTGCCATGTGCATGTCCTTTTTAGTTTTTTCTTTTAGTTAAATCTGCATATGATGACATAGAAATAAGTGATCTTCTGTCCTGGAATGTGCAAGAGAATGCACTTTCCAGAAGAGAGGCCAAGTTAGGGATGTTACCTGACGATGCTACCATGTTAGTAGGGTTTACAAATAACACACTGGGGACCACTGCCCCCATAGTGCATGTTCCTCTCCAGTGCCTGGGGAGGATTGAGTGTAGCCAGGAGCCACAGGGAAAGTAAAGCCGTGTCCCCTGAAGGGATGGTTTTATGTCGTGGTTTATGAGGGTTTCAGCTACATTTAGTCCAGGCCTTGTTGGGTTGCCTTCCCTATATCTAATGGGAGTATCTTTAGGATAAGGATATCCATACTTAGTATCGTTATCCACAGTACCACCTGGAACTTTACATGCTGGATGGGAAGAATCTTTTTGGAAAACAGAGTTTTGAAAAATTAGAGACACAATATGCCCTGGCCAGTATCTTAGACAACCCTCCTTACAGGGTCTATTGGTTTAGTCACCCCTGTTAGTCCACAAATTTGCAGATAACTTCCATTAAATATTTTATTATTTTTTTTGAGGCAGAGTCTCACTCTGCTGCCCAGGCTGGAGAGCAGTGGTGTGATCTTGGCTCACTGCAACTTCCGCCTCCTGGGTTCAAGCAGTTCTCCTGCCTCAGCCTCCCGAGTAGCTGGGATTACAGGCATATGCCACCAGAGCTGGCTTTTTTTTTTTTTTTTTTTTTTTTTTTGTATTTATAGTAGAGACGGGGTTTCACCATGTTGATCAGGCTGGTCTTGAACTCCTGACCTCATTATCCACCTGTCTTAGCCTCCCAAAGTGCTGTGATAACAGGCGTGAGCCACCGTGCCCAAACTACTTCCATTAAATATTACACAGGGTCTGGGATTTCATGTGTGGACATCTTTGGGAGGAACTGGATTACTTTGTTTTCATACTGCTGATAAAGACATACCTGAAACTGGGAACGACAGCAACAAAAATAGATTTAATTGGACTTACATTTCCACATGGCTGGGGAGGTCTCAGAATCATGGAGGGAGGCGAAAGGCACTTCTTATATGGTGGCAGCAAGAGAAAATGAAGAAGAAGCAAAAGCAGAAACCCTTGACAAACCCATTAGATCTCAAGAGACTTATTCACTATCATGAGACTAGCATAGGCCCCCATGATTCAGTTTCCCCCACCCCCATCACCACCATGTCCCTCCCATAACACATGGGAATTCTGGGAGACATAATTCAAGTTGAGATTTGGGTGGGGACACAGCCCAACCATATCATTCTGTCCCTGGCCCCTCCAAATCTCATATCCTCACATTTCAAAACCAATCATGCCTTCCCAACAGTCCCCCAAAGTCTTAACTGATTTCAGCATTAACTCAAAAGTCCACAGTCCAAGGTCTCATCAGAGACATGACAAGTCCCTTCTGCCTATGAGCCTGTAAAATGAAAACAAACTAGTTACTTCCTAGATAAAATGGGGTACAGGTATTGGGTAAATACAGCCATTCCCTGTGGTTTTGCAGGGTACAGGCTCCCTCCCAGCTGCTTTAATGGTCTGGCAGTTAGTGTCTCCGTTTTTCCAGGCACATGGTGCAAACTGTCAGTGGATCTACCATTCTGGGGTCTGGAGGATGGTGGCTCTGTTCTCACAGCTCCACTAGGCAGTGCCCCAGTAGGGACTCTGTGTGGGGGCTCCAACCCCACACTTCCCTTCTGCACTGCCCTAGCAGAGGTTCTCCATGAGGGCCCTGCCCCTACAGCAAACTTGTGTCTGGGCATCCAGGCATTTCCATACATATTCTGAAATCTAGGCAGAGGTTCCCAAACCTCAGTTTTTGACTTCTGTGCACTCGCAGGCTCACCACCACATGGAAACTGCCAAGGTTTGTGGCTTCCAGCCTCTGAAGCCACAGCCTGAGCTGTGTGTTGGCCCCTTTGCGCCACAGCTGGAGTGGCTGACACTCAGGTCAGCAAGTCCACAGGCCATACACAGTACAGGGACTCTGGGCCCAGCCCGCAAAACCATTTTTTCTCCTAAAATTCTGGGTCTGCGATGGGAGGGGCCGCCATGAAGACCTATAACATGCCCAGGAGACATTTTCCCCCTTGTCTTGGGGACTAACATTCACTCCTTGTTACTTATGCAAATTTCTGAAGCCAGCTTGAATTTCTTCTCAAAAAATAGATTTTTCTTTTCTACTTCATCATTAGGTTACAAATTTTCTGAACTTTTATGCTCTATTTC